CTATAGGTAAGGTCTGAACCCATGCCATGGATGTTTCCTGACAAATTTTGCTAATTTGTGTTTTAAAGGTTCCATTCATATGTTCAACCTTACCACTTGCTTGGGGTCTGTAAGGTGTATGCAGATCCCAAGTAATTCCCAAATTCTGGCTAACTTCTTTAACTACTGTTGCAACAAAGTGGTGTCCCCTATCTGATGACATCCCCAAGGGAAACCCGAACCTTGGAATTATATGTCTGAGCAAAACTTTCACCACTTGCTTGGCTGTATTAGTGTGACAGGGGTAAGCTTCAGGCCATCCACTGAAGGGGTCAACTAATACCAATATGTGCCTGTATCCCTCTTTGTGTGGTAACTCAGCAAAATCTATTTTCCAGTAATTTCCAGGAAGATCCCCAGCCTTTGTTACTCCTAACACAACTCTCTTTCTCGTATCAGGATTGTTTTTACAGCAGATTTCACATTTGCTTAATACTGATTGTACAATATCAGTCATTCCCTTTCCTATTACTACCTTTTTAAAAAGTTCCAAAATATTTTCAACCCCCAAATGTGTGCTTTCATCCTCTCTCCGAGCTAGCTCCCAAAGGATCGGGGTGGGACTACAACCTGATTCTCTGGTGTAACTGCCCATCCACTTTCTGTGATCTCAGCCTTAAGGAACTTAATTAGCTTGTGGTCTGCTTGGTCATACTTTGTAGTGAACCCTGACAAATTAATCTCTTTTTGTGGAATTACTGTGAGAATACCTTTTTCTTCAATTCCTCTTGCTGCTTCATTAGCAAAACAAATTCCCAATTCTGGAGTGGTTTTCCCTTTCTGATGACTCCTAAATGCATGATAGCTGCTTCTGTGGTCTTTGTGATGCCCTCCAAGAGGGCAACAAGTATTTGTTCAGCATGTTTGGTTTGATTTGATTACCTTGAGCATTCAGAAGTCCTCTCTCCTTCCAGATGGCTCCATGGGTGTGGGCAACACTAAATGCATATTTAGAGTCAGTCCATATATTTACCTTCTTTGCTCAGGTCTAGGGCCCTCGTCAGTGCAATCAGTTCAGCTTTCTGTATGTCCTAGGGTGACTTTATGATGCTTGTATCCCCAATTGTCTGTTCTGTTTATGCTGGATATTGTATTCTGTGCCTTCAAGACTAGTTCTGATAGCGAAAGCAGGGAGAAGAAGAAGCATAGAGTTTGTTATCAGAGACTGCACTCACTCCTCTAAAAGCAACACTCCTCCACATTCTGCCCTGGACTGTATTGTCTGGGCATGGATGGAGCAGAACAGAGTGCTCCTTTACTTTTTAGTTAGTTTAACTAGCTGAGGCAGGGAAGTTTTCCCTAGATTATTTTTTTCTTTCCCTTTTCTTAGAACTGTTCAAATCTGCTCAAGACTGGAGACCCGGGGAGCACCGAGAGCTTACACTTTGTAGCCTACCGAGGCCTACTCTGGGCAGCAGCCTTTCCCAGTGCTGGAGGGACTGATAACAGAGTGACCACCCACAGGAGAGACTTTCTGAATATGTCATCTCTTCAGAGCGGCGGATAAGTTTTGTCATCTGATATTGTTCATTTTTTGTGCTGGGGAGTGCTTTGCCTGTTAAATAAACAGGTTTTTTCCACTTCTCTCTGAAGAAATTTTTCCCAAACTGGTTTGGGAGAGGGGCCACGTAAGTTTGCTTTCTGAAGGAGCCCCCTTCTAAAAGTTTTCTCCCAAATTTTCCCTAAACCAAGATGCTGTGATTACACATCAGCTGGCAGAGCCTTCGCCTTGATCACTTTGTCCTGGGTGGTTACTGCATAACCTGTCTCTTACCATTTCTCATGAAGCTGCTCCCATCTGTAAAAAGCTCCCAATCTGGATTTTCTAGGGGCACGTCCTTCAAGTCTAGTCTGGAATAGACCTTTTCAATTGTCTGCAAGCAGTCATGCTCAGGTACATCATCAACAAGTTGGAGGACAGAAACATGGCAGGGCTAACAACAGAAGTTGTTTAAAAGGTAACATCATTCTGTTCTAATAACATTGCTTGATATTTAAGCATCTGATTACCAGACAACCAATGTCTCCCTCCCCCCTTTTGTTCGAGTACAGCTGCTATGGCATGGGGTACATACACTACATTGTGTCGCCCAAGGGTAAGTTTTTGGGCCTCCTGAATTAAGATGACTGTAGCCACCATGGCCTTCAAGCACCATGGCCATCCTTGGGCAACGTTGTCTAGCTATTTGGAAAAGTAGGCCACAGCCTTTCCTTGGTTTCCAAGGCACTATGCTAGTACACCCAAAGCCACATTCAGTCTCTCATGTAAAGAGTTCAAAAAGTTTAGTTAAATCTGGCAATCCCAGTGCTGGAGTATTACGGTCTGGGTTCTCAGAGTCTGTCCAACCCTGGCTGCTGTAGGTGTCCCGGATAGTGAAGTCCCGCTAAGCACAACCTGTCCAGGTGCCCCAGGCAGGCTGCCAGCTGTAGGCAACCTTAGCAAGAAGCTTAGCTCTTTAAATGAGATCAGCTCTTTGGTGAATTGAGCTCTTTAGCGATTTCAGCACTTTGCTTGCTAAGTGCCTTGGCAGATGCAGGGATGAAAGAGGAGAAGAACTGTGTGAGGTTCCACAATGTGTCTTTATTGGCAGCCTCTGTGAAAGGTGACAGTGACAGCTCTTCTGCTGAACTGGGCAGAGGCAGGAGTTTATATAGGGTATGTGGGTTTTGGGAAACAGCCCAATAGAAAGGGTCGAGGTGTATATGACCAATGGTCTTACACAGAGAGATAACGAGTGTCCGAGGTGGAAGAGGGGTCTTTTGGTCCAGTCATCATGACTAGGCATTTCTTATCTTAGGCAACTGACCGCCAGGGAGGCCTTGCAGGCCTTTTGGCTGCTGCACTGGAGCTAACATTAAACAGTGTTTCAGCTGTTTAAAAGCTGCTCTGCTGTTTTCAGTCCATATGATAATTCCTTTTCCAGCTGCTTTTAGTGCTCCATGTAGGGGTTTTACCAGCAGTCCATAATTTGCTATGCACAAACAATACCAACCTACCATTCCCAGGAAAGCTTGCATCTCTCTCACGGTATGGGGCTCTGGAAGTCAGCAGATGGCTTCTTTCCGTTCTTTGCTGAGCTGTTGGTGTTCACAAGAGATCTCAAGCCCCAAATAAACTACTGCTTCCTTGGCAATCTGTGCCTTGTCTTTGGAAACTCTGTACCCATTCAATCCCAAAAAGCTTAATAAACCTATGGTAAATTGTATACAGGCATCTCTGGTTCTAGCCACAATCAAGGTGTTGTCAACATATTGAAGAATAATCCCTCCTGGCTCTTGTCTCCTCCAATTCCTTTGCTAGCTGGTTTCCAAATATTCTTGAGCTATTCTTGAAACCCTGGGGTAGGACTGTCCAAGTAAGCTGACTTTTCCTCACTGTTTAGGGATTCTCCCACTCAAAAGCAAAGAGCTCTTGGCTGTTTTTATGCACAGGAATGCAGAAAAAGGCATCCTTCAGGTGTACAACAGTAAACCACCCTAATTTCTCTTGTCAGTGTGGTCACAAGGGTGTAGGGATTGGCTACCACTGGGTATATGTCCGCTGTAATTTTGTTAATTGCTTTTAAATCTTGTGCTATTCGATAACTCTTACCATCTGCCTTCTTAATGGCAAGTATGGGGATGTTGTATCTTGATTCACATTGCACTAATAACCCATGTTGGAGGAATCCCTTAAAACTTTCTAATTCTAAAGGGTATTGTTTTTGCCTTACCAGTGTGGCTCCTGGTTTGAGTGCAATACTCACTGGTTCTGCCTGTTTGGATCTTCCTGGGATATCACTGGCCCACACTATTGGGTTGGCAGCATTTTCAACTTCAATGGGGATTTCACCCCATTTGTCCTGTATAAAAAGTGCAGCAACTTCGACAAATTTAGATTCAGGAATTACAACTCATACACCCTTTCCCTTTTTAAATTTAATTTCTGCTTCCAACTTCTTTAGCAGGTCTCTCCCCAGCAGTGGTTTGGAGGAGTTAGGCATATAAAGGAATTGATGGGTTACCCAGTGCTTACCCAGTTTGAATTTTAAAGGTTGGAAGAAAGACCACGTTTTGTTTACCCCTGTCGTCCCAACAACATGTACAGTATCTTGACTCGGTTACCCTTCCAAAGTATTTAATACAAAATGGCTGCTCCTGTATCTACCAAAAATTCGATGTTTTCTTTCCCCAGCTTAGCTATAACCAAAGGCTCTTCTGGGGGAGAAGCCTTCGGTCCCCATCGTTCTGAGCATGAGTCTTGTCCCGCTGTGAGTTGGGAAACTGGGGATTTTTGTTTCAACATTGGGCAGTCATTTTTCCAATGTCCCTATTTCTTTCAATATGCACACTGATCTTTTTCTGTAGGGGAAGTTCTCTTGGATGACTTCTCCTGAGTCGCCTTCTTACTAGGTTGGTGTCTAACCTTGTCACTTGGGCCCCTGTCCCGATATACCTACCATGCCACTTCTAGAAATTTATCTATGTCTTGAACCTCATCTAGCTTTTGCAGCTTTCTCCTTATATCATTTGTAGCTTGACTAATGAACAAGAGAAGTAGATGGGCTTTTCCATCAGTATCTAGGTTTGTATATTTAATAGCAGCTTCTCCTAACTTATTTTAAAAAATCAGTAGGAGATTATGTAGGAATGTGCCCCCTGTTGACAGAGTGACAAAACTATCCTTTGTCCCCTTAAAAAGGAAAGAAGCCCAGAAGTTTCTCTCCTCAATTAGGTGAAAAGGCATCTCATAGGACCTTGGGGACTTCACCTCAGACTTAAGGATACCTAATTGGACAGGATCCAAAAAGTCCCGCCTGGGCAATTTACTAGAAAAATAAGTGAACAAAGAAACTAATCGCTTTTGTGAGGTGTTTTACCAGGAGCAAGAACCTCTTGCACCTGGCTCGGTTTTTCTCTGTTTGTTATTTTGTCTTTTGTTAAACCTTTTTGTTTCCAACACTGCAACAGAAGCCATCCTGCTGATTTTATGTCTCCAAAGGTAGCTGAGCTATCTTGGGTGCGATATAGACCTCCAAGAGCTTATGAGACCTGGCTCAAGGAGGCTCCTATAACAAGATTCATCATAATTTTGCTCTATTTCATAAAGCTTTGACCAATTTAGAGCTTTAGGGACACCATGTTTTAACCCATATACCATGAGATTTTGATATAGCTTTAGTTTTGCCATCTGTTCTGGCACATTTGGATCCCATTTTGGATCATCTGATGGAAAAACCTCTGCAACGGTGCCCTGGATCAACTCACTTGCTATATTTGCCTCTACTGCAGTTGTAATAGTTTTATTAACCATCTGTCTCTCAGTGGGATCAAGCAATATGTCCATCATAGATTTCAAATCAGTCCAGTCAAGGTTTTGTGTGTTAATTGCCCTTTCTACTAAATTTGCTACTTTATCTGGATTTCCTTTATATTTGCCTACAGTAGCCTTCTACTGTTCTAACTCCACAACGGAGTACGGAACCTTTATATATATTGGCCCCTGATTGCCAACTGCTTGCCATAACGGGGCTTGCAGAACCAATGCTTTTGGGTTTTTTCCCTTTTTGACCTAGTACGTTTGGCTATTGGACTACATTCCCTTATGGCTCTTCTAGCTATCTTTCCCCTCCTTTGCCTGTTCAGGGCAGCTGTGATCTCATCTTCCTCTTCAGAAGAGCTGCCTGAGTGAGAGCTGTCTGCCTCTGTTGAATTTGCTGTGTTAGATCTTCTTCGACCAGTGCCGGTACTAGGGATTGCTGTCCAAGATTTGCTCCAATGTAGGGAGTGGGCGGCAGGCCTGCTTGCTTTGATGATGTCATCTCCTGAGCCAGCTCCCCAGCACACGATATTGCTATGGAAACTCACGGGCCTTAGAGTGGGAGGGGTGCCACTCCCCCTATGGGAGTTCCCCTCTCCGCCCTCTCTGTAAAAGGCTCTGCCCCCGGCTCCACCCCTAGGGGGGATGCCATTGGCTGCACACGCTGGCTGTCCTCTCCCCCCGCCCCCACCCACCCAGGAGCGAGTGGGAATGGGAGGGGGAGTACAGGCGGGGTGGGCGTCTGTGCCTGCGGCAGTGGGGAAACAACTGCAGCTGCTGTCGCCAAAACTGTGACCACCGGGGGCTGCAGAAGAGCGACGGAAACTGCGGCGGGAGGAGGGGGAGAGAGCGCAGGTGGGGGAGGCATCCAGCCAGAAGTCGACACAGGTGCCTGCGCCATTCTCGGCTGCCAAAGCCAGCCTCCCTCTTCCTTTACTTTCTTTACTGCCCACCGCAGCCGCCTTCCCCCTTAACTTTAGAGGCAGCAGCGACCGTGGAACTGGGGCCGGGGTCATGGCGGCTAAAGCTGCGGCTGGTGGAGTAGGGGGAAATAGAGATGGTGCTGTGGGCGGCCGCACGGGTGGGGCCACGAGCAGCACTGCAGGCAGCAGCACGGGCAGGGCCGCAAGCCGCAGGTGGAAGTGCGCCCGCCGGCAGTGCGGGCAGCAGTGTGGGCGGGGCCCAGATCTCAGAGGGGGGGCTACTAAGTCTGACTCCACCTCTTCCCTGCTCCCACACTTGGGATTTAATATGGGCTGTCTCTTTTCATCCTTTTTTTCTTTCTTCCTTAAATGCAGTATACACTCTTTCTTAGGTTTTTGTAGCTTTTCATCTTGTGATATAACTAAAAAAAGCCTCATATATTCAAATTCTATAAACAAGTGTTGTTGACACAGGCAAGACATCAAATTGATTATTAATTCTTCATCTAAGCTACCAAACTGTCCTAGGGTGACGTTATGATGCTTGTATCCCCAATTGTGTGTTCTGTTTGTGCCGGATATTATATTCCGTGCCTTCAAGACTGGCTCTGAGAGCAAAGGTGGGGAGAAGAAGAAGCACGGAGTTTGTTATCAGCCTGCACTCACTCCTCCACAGTCTGCTGGAACACAGAACTCCACTGCGTTGTCTGGGCATGGACAGGGCAGAACACAGCACTCCTTTGCTTTTTAGTTAGTTTAGCTAGCTGAGGGAGTTGAAGTTTTCCCTTGATTGGTTTTCTTTCCCTTTTCTTGGAACTGTTCAAACCTGCTCCAGACTGGGACCCGGGGAAACACCGAGAGCTCGTTCTTTGTAGCCTACCAGGGCCTACTCTGGGCAGCAGCTTTTCCCAGCGCTGGAGGAACTGATAGCAGAGCGACCATCCCCAGGAGAGACTTTCTGAATTTGTCATCTCTTCAGAGCGGCGAATGAGTTTTGTCATCTGGTATTGTTCATTTTGTGTGCTGGGGACTACCGTGCATTGAATGAAGTGACTCCACCACTGAGTGCTGCTGTTCCGGGCATGTTAGAGCTCCAGTACAAGCTTGAGTCCAAGGCAGCGAAGTGGTATGCCACTATTGATATTGCCAATGCATTTTTCTCCATTCCTCTGACAGCAGAACGCAGGCCTCAGTTTGCCTTCACGTAGAGGGGAGTGCAATATACCTGGAACTGACTGCCCCAAGGGTGGAAGCACAGTCCTACCATCTGCCATGGACTGATCAGACTGCACTAGAAAAGGGTGAGGCTCCAGACCATCTACAGTATATTGATGACATCATTGTGTGGAGGAACACAGCCACAGAAGTGTTTGAGAGAGGAGAGAATATCATTCAAATCCTCCTGGAAGCTGGTTTTGCCATCAAAAAGAGAAAAGTAAAGGGACCAGCTCGTGAGATCCAGTTCCTAGGAGTAAAGTGACAAGATGGATGGCGTCAGATTCCTATGGATGACACCCAATTGTGGGGCCCCTTTTGGAGGTTTCCCCCGAATTTGCCCTAATCCAGGACACAAACTTAGGCCACTTCTGATTGTTATCCAATTTATAAGTTTGCCAGATTAGTCTAGACAGCCTAATAAGCTCAGGTTTTGTAAGGTGTCAGTGTTCATCAACTAATTCTTGCCAGTTTTCTAACACTAAACCTAAAGTTGAATTCTTGGGTATTTAGACATCATTGGAATGAGAAAAATTACAGCCCATCGTCTATACTTAGAAAGATCACAGAAATTAAGAAAAGCAATGTAAATTCACACTAACAAGCTGAGAGAAATAGAATAAGAAGGAAGGAGGATTCAAACCAATAAGCTTAGAGTCAGCAAGCAGCAGCTTAAACCACTACACCATGACTGGCTCCATTCCAAATCACAGGTACTGAAGCACTTAGCTCTCATGAGCTAGCAACAAATGAAGGGGGAAGCAACAAATGAACTAGAACTCCCTTGGACCCTTTCTCATGTCCCAGAGATACCAAACAAATCTGTAAGAGATCTCAACATCCAACCCATGTGCTAAAACAAAATACCACCTTTAGTTACCTACTCACATGCCTCTGTGTTGGATCTGAGTATTCTTGTGCTCTGATACTGTCTGGACTGCAGCTACAGCTCCCTCCTGAATGCCAGCAAAAAGGGGGAGCAGGAGCAGGATGTTCCTCTGGTCCAGGGGGTTTTCCAGATGCCTTCCTGTCCCGGCAAGGTCTGCCAAAAACTGATCCCTGGAGAGGCTACCTAGAACAGAGTTAGAGGATAAAGGTAGGTATTTACTGAAAGGCCTTCAAAGGCTACACCTTGGGCAGTGCAGGAGTCTCACAGAGACCACAGCTAAGATGAATGATGGTCTGGAGTTTTTCATACAGATATAAGTTTGGTCCATTTGCATATCAGAGGTTAATTATCCAATTACAGCTTCAGGCAATGAAATCACTTACTCCAAGTTTGCTCCCCCCAATTCACTGTTGTTTACATTTTTCCGGGCCTGAGACAGTAAGGTGTCCTTGAGATTCAGGCCTAGACAGAAATTGTTTTGTCTGAATAAAATGGGAGAACAGTAGCTGGCAGGCTATGGAGTTTTGGAGTTATGCACTAAAGCAATACTGATCAGAAAAATATAAAAGCTAAAACTTAAGGCATCAATCCAAGACAGCCAGCATGGCTTCAAAAAGGGAAAATCATGCCTGACCAGTCTGGTGACCTTCTATGATGGAGTGACTACAAGGGTCAGTGAGAGAAGACTGACTGATGTCATCTACCCAGACTTCTGTAAGGCCTTCGACACAGTCCCACACAGCATTCTTATCTCTAAATTGCAGAGATATGAATTTGAAGGGTGGACTATTCAGTGGAGAAGGAATTTTCTGGATGCATGCAGCCAGAGAGTTGTGTTCAATGGCTCTATATCCAGGTGGAGGTTGGTGATGAGTGGTTTTCCTCAGGGCTCTGTCTTGGGACCAGTGCTCTTTAATATCTTTATCAATGACTGTGAGACCGAGTGCACCCTCAGCCACAAAGCTGAGCAGGGCAGTTAACAGAATACAAGGACAGGATGCCATCCAGGTGGACATGGACAAGCTCAAAAAGTGGATCCATGAGAACCTCATGAAGTTCAACAAGGCCAAGTGTGAGGTCCTGCACCTGGGTCAGGGCAATCCCAGACATGAGTAGACTGGGAGAAGAACTCATTCAGAGTAGCCCTGTGGAGAAGGACTTGGGAGTTCTGGTGGATGAAAAGCTGAACATGAGCCAACAGTGTGCGCTTGCAGCACATAAGGCAAAGTTTAAGTAGCATAGTAGTAGCAATCACAGGGTGAAGGGAAAAATTTTGTAGCATGGTACACGGGGGTTTGGAATTCTGTACATGGGGGTCAGGGGTTCCAAGATGGAGGGATTTGGGCATGCCCTGTCCTTCTTTCTTCTCCCTGGCATCCATGTTCAGGATGATGTTGGCATTCACAGATTGGTTTAGAGTAGAAAGTCACTGTCTAACAGGTGATAGGTATTGGAACATAATTGTAAACATAGTATACATAGTTTTTAGTATAAAAGATAGCACCAGCCTGAGAGGCGGGGAGTGTGCCTTGGACCGACCTGCAGAACAGACCTTGGCAGGCCTGACAGAAAATGTTTGAGATAAAGAAATAATAAACAACCTTGAGAACGTGAACCGAAGACTTCTTGACTCCTTCTTCGGCTGCTGGGTTGGGGAAAAGAGACTTTTAACAGAGACACACCTCGGGATCTTCCCAACCAGACCAGACCAGAGGAGATCCTGAGAGTAAAATATGGTTTGGGAGTACTCTATTCCCCATCTGTTAGAGGTGGGGCAGTTTTCTTCTGTTAATTGGGCAGTTTAGTTTATCTCTTCTACAACCAATCGTCTCTCCGGGGAAGATATCTTCTGTTAATGCACTATTGAGTCTCACTGCATGACTGATAAAATTACATAATCCCATTGTGAGATGCTCTGCCCAGGAAGATGAGCCAAGCATTCCTACCTGGATATAATCTGGGATTTGGAACACCAGAAGCAGCCTTTCCTCATTGGATTCCAAGAGGAGCAGCTTCTCCACTGGATTCCTAGAGGAAGACCAGGCCCATCTACACCACCACTGGACCTTCAGAGGAAAACTACACCCTTCTACAGGATCACTGCTTCAGCAGAACCACATCTGTCACTCCAGAAGACTGCAGTCACCATTCAATCGGTCTGCTACCAACACCCTGACCCACAGGGTGTCAGGTCATATTCTGACTCTGTCAGTGGTGTTTTTTTTGATTGTACTATTGCATTTGTATTTTTAAATTTTCCTAGTAAAGAACTGTTATTCCTACTCTCATATCTTTGCCAGACAGCATCCTAATTTCAAAAATTATAATAATTCGGAGGGAGGGGGTTTACATTTTCCAATTCAAGGAAGGCCCCTGCCTTCCTTGGCGGACACCTGTCTTTTCAAACCAAGACACCATAACTCGACCAGCCTATACTGTTAAAGGAAAAGAAGTAAACATCTTTATGAAGAAGGCACTGAGAGATTCAAATGCAAACAATGGACACCAGCCAATCCCAGGCAAGCATGTACGCAGGCAGCTATTTATGGACTTAGAAACCCACTGAGGTCCCCTGCTCAGCTTGGCCAGCAGGAGCTGGCTAAATATGAAGGGACGGGAACAATGGAACTTGCCAGAAAATAAAAACTTTAATAGCCAAAATAACAAACATCACACACGTACAGAAGCTAGGTTCCAAGGATCCCTTGGGTGGGGCCAACACAGCCAGGTATAGGGGCACGATATCCAATCAGAAAGGTGAACTCAGAACATGACTTTATAAGAAAAAGGTCTTGACCAACGGTGAAGGAGAACTGTAAACTTGACCAAATATAGGAAGGTTCTATTAGCATACTACTAACTCCCATGACCTCACAGCTCTCACTGTGGCCTGCTCAGGTGTCCCTTCCCCTCAGTGCTCTGCCTGCCATGGTTTATGGCCAAAGGCTTCTGTAAAAGCATCTGAGGTGAAAACATTAGCAGTGCGAGATCCCTCAGCTATTGGTCAGTGAACTGGGTGGTAACAAGTTTCTAGCCAATTGGGATCAAGCACACACGCTTTTTGAAAACCCTATAAATGTGAGTCCTGGACAATAAAGGTTGCTGTTGCCGCATGAACCTTGGAGTGTCATGTCCGTCTTAGCTATGACAAATGGTGACCCCCTATGTGATGGCAGCAGCCTCCTGCGTGGAGAGTGGGGAGACAGAGCCCAGCAGAGAGGCAGCCTGGAGAGCTGCCGGCAGCATGCAGAGCTGCAAGAGTTCGGACCACTGTAAATAGAAAGTATCCACTGGGGACATGGGAACCTGAGTCCCAACAGAAGAAAAAGCTGTAGTGAATGTATGGACCCTCTTGTTAAGTAAACGGGGATAAAATATGATGAACAGGCTCTGCAAACTTTTCTGGTTTTGTGCAAGAGACAGGGAAGAGACGCTACCACAGAAACCGCTTTTAATGTTCAAACATGGGAACGGGTTGGTAAACTGATTTTTGAGTCAGCCTCTCAAGGCAATGAGACTGCTAAAAATATTGTAACTGCCTGGAGGCTGGTGCTGTATACCTTGAGACTGGTGAAAGCTGTGCAGAATGCAAAAACAGCAATTGAGGCACCGCAGGTGCCACCCACAGAAACATCCAGTCATTGCAGAGCGCAGGGGGGAGCAATTAAGGAATTAGGTGCTGCATTGAGTTCCCAAGTGGAAAGGATGGGCGAGAAACCAGAAGGGGAATGGCTGTCATCTGAGCCCCCTATCTCTGCAACACCGCCGCACCATGCCGATGAAGCCCTTCTGGCGCCATGTGTGCCCGTGCCATGTGCAGAGCTGCCAGTGCTCAGGGCTGCAGAATGCCGCGAGAAAGCTTTTGTGTCCTGGAAGACTGTGTGTGAGGTGCTCGTGGTGCATGCAGTACCCACAGACTGAACAAAGAAGGACTCTTGTGCCACTGCGGCAGTCATGCCAACCCCTCCTGCACCACCAGCAAATGACCGTAAGTCTATTGGGGCTGTGGGGGGAGAACCAGAAGATGGCCCCTGGTTCCCCAATCTGTTTGATCCTAGAGGGGACCCTGACAGTATAACAGAAGAGCTTGTGCCGCCCCGCACCATGCAGCCTCAGCTGGAGCCATATCGCAGCTAGTGGCTGGAGCTGGGGAGCCCTTCCTGGTAGCGTGCTCTCTCTCTGCCTGCCCTCTGTGTGAGTGGAGCAGCAATGGCAGAGGCGGCAGGGGGGGAGCGTGCAGAGCTGCAGGGGTGCTGTGCTGTGGTGGCAGCAGCAAGTGTGCGGCAGTGAGCACATGTCTGTGCCACGTTGGTGAGCACATGGCACAGATGTAAGAGGGTGACAAGTGGCAAGCCACTTTCTCAGCGATTCTGGCAAGACACCCCCAGCTCTCTGCGTGTGGGCAGTGAGGAAGTGACCCAGGGAGCCTGGTGGCACCAGCAGAGGCAGTGCTGGCAGGGGCAGCACCATGTCCCTGCTCCCTGCACACAGCAGGCTTTGTCCAGGGAGGCACGGCCACCATCTTGTGCACTGGCAGAGCCCTGCAAGCTGCCCCAATGTGGGCCCTGAGCCGTGCTGGCCCCTGCTACAGTCAGGGCTCCCATCTCCTGTGGACCCTCGTGAGCTGACACTGTGCTGGACCCTTACTATTAAGATTGCCTTTTTTACCATACCACCTTGTGACCCCAAAAGCATCACTCTGATTGCTTTTTATGATAGATGCTCCTGTAATAATTCTAAATTGTAAGCTATCCTTTCAAGAGGAAATTAACTGATATGTTTTTTCAAAGTACCCTTTAATTAATGAAAGTGAGTTGCAGAAATTTTGTCCCACTTGAAGAAACTGGAAGAACAACTCCCACCTTGCTACTTCCCTGATGTAGAAAAGGTTACCACTGGAATGAAAGACCGTAACCATCTCATCCTGAAGCAACTTCTGACTCAGGGCTTATCTTTTGAAACCACTTAGGAGTTAATATAATTGTAATGTCCCAAGACTAGATTTATATAACTTCTGAGAAGGAAAATTGGGAAATTTAAGTATTGTCAAGTAATTTTTTGCTTTTGTTAAAAACTTACTTTATGTTTTCACTAAATGACTGCTCATTAGAGAAATTTAAAGTTAGCTGTGTGATTGTAGATTATTTCTAGATCCAGATAGCATTCATACATAAAGATTTTATAAAGA